GACGTTCATGATGTCGTTGCCGAGCTCTGGAGAAACGAAACGAGTGATAAATGGACACTTGTCGATAAGGTATGGTTTTGTGAATAATCTTAGTATGAGTCGTGCTGACGAAAGATAGGAAATCGAGCTGCTTCTCCAGCTGACCTCCGAGGTCCCGTTAGAGCCTTACGACATCGTGTCAGACCCCAAAACCGTGGTAGCTCTGTCGCTTCTTCACAATAGCATGGTTCGTTTGCTCAGTCGGTCACACTAGTTCTCTGATATACTGACTGAGATACAGCAATGGTTTGCGAGTCACCTGGCCCAGCTGCGCCAAATCATCCCGGCCTCGGAAGCTCAACGCCCGGAAACTGGGCCTCCTAACCGTCGTTGGACCTTGATCGGGGCAATGAAGTCCAAGGTCGATGGTGTCAGTCAGCCGATATATCTGCCCTTGAGCCAAGAAACAGCAACCATCTTCGACAACACTCTTGGATCACTGCGCGAACTGGCATACACTGCTCTGTTCGCCCTCCACATCGATTGTCGGTGTGGCGTCATCCATATGCTGAAGAAGACAATGGCAGGGCCCAATCCTCGAAACTCGCGCGCTTCTGAGCCTACGACGCCGTCTCCCAGCAGCACCACTCACTGGTGGCATATTCTGATGAATCAGCCCACTGCTGCATCGCCCACGATTCTAGAGTTGAATGGTGATCTGATCGGCTTCGACAGTAACATATCCACTTACCTCGGATCATCAGAGAGATGGTTCATTACCTCTGGGCTTGCTCGCTTCATCGACCAGACATTTGTGGCGAACACCGGCCTGATCGGCGCTATGAACGAGAATGGAGCCTTGCGCCTCCAATTGGACGTCCTCGTCTTGCAACAGAACCTCAAGAATATTATCATCGATCCGATGCAGGCCCCGGCTCATGACGGAACCACCAGCCCCCACGAGGAGCACCACGAGGTGGTCGCGCTCCCGCGCAGCGCCAAGTTCCTGGACTGGTTCCTCGAGGGCGCCGAGAAAGCCCTAGACTACGCCAAGGAAGAGAAGGAATCCTTTGCTGCCCATGGAGAGAAAGCGCTGGCCGCTGGAAACGGAGAACCCTTCACGTACGAAGAGCTCAAAATCCTCATTGATCTCTGCTTCTCGGATGCTTTGCTCGGACCCAGAGGAGCGGACAACCGGGAGGAATTTATGGCTGCCAAGAAGGCCAGTGCGGATGCTCTGCTGAGATTGAACGAGGTGATGTGGGATTCCAAGTAGGCGGAGTGCACATCATGGATATGATCCACACTGCGATGCGAAATATAAATTCTTCTTCATTTCCATAATTCGACGTTGTGCTGTAGCCCCAGGGGGTATCCTAAATGATGGGAGGCCAGAACGGGATGGACCGACCCACTTGCCAGATGCTCCGAAATTGTCCAGAATTTTTTTTCTCATCCAAGCAGTGACCAGTCGTTTGACGCCAAGCACAATTTCAGGAGAACATGTCTCTTGGGGTGGACCGTGAATTTTTGCATGTGAACAATGAACATCGACCCAGAATCATCAGACGATCGAGAGCTCCCCCTGGGTCGAAACTCGAAGAAGGGATTCTGAGACAGTTCTGCTTAGTGCGCTTAGTGCTTGGTGCTTAGGCTGATAACAGTCTAGAGCCACGACTCGTCCTAAATGGTCCCAACTGGTTCCAACTGGTCCCAACTCGCCGTTGCGAGCAAAATCTCCGGGGTGGGTCTGACTGGAGTAGTTTAATTAAATGCCAATATATCATTGCCCGCACTTGATTCCATTAATCGAATCGAACGATCGAATTGATCCCCAGTCCAGTGTTTCACCTCACGATCTCATTTCCCGCTGGTTGCTGCCTTGCCCAGTGGCCACACTCTCTCTGCCTTTCGGCCCGTTGACTGCTGCCCCTGGTAGTTTCATTTCCCTGATATTGCTGACAATGGGGCAAAATCATGATGTCGAAATTGACCCATCATAAAGTCCGGATCACGGGGCAAACATCTTGTGCTTTGGGGGTTCCTTTTATTCCCTTGATCCCGCGTTGTGAGCTCTTTTCGTTCTTTCTATCTTCCTTCTCTCCATCTCTCGTTGACCACTACCACTCTGTCCGGAACAGCAGTTCTATAGTCCTGGGATTTGATATCCAGGCGTCCATTCTTTCCTAAACCAACTTCATCCGTGTTGATTCCACGTTCTTTTGCCATATCGGCAGTCCAACAAGAGACCAACCTTCCATTCATTATTTGCCTGTTTCGAACACATTTCCCCTCATATCAACCATGAAGTACGAACGTCTTGCCTCGCTGGGCTTTGCTGCCCTGGGTGCCCTTTCCTCTGTGACTGCCCGGCCTATTGCGACCCCCGACGACGACGAGTGGGATTGTGGCGACGATGATGTTGCTGTCAGCACGCACTATGCGACAGTCACTCCCACTGCCGCGGTCGAGACCTCTACCTTCACCGATGTTGAGGCTACTACGGTGTTCCTCACCACGACTATCACCCTTGGTGCGGGTCAGACCACTTCATCTGTTCAGACCGTGGTCATCAACACTCAGGCTGCCACTACTGCCGCTGCTCAGCCCACTTCCACCGTTGAGGCTGTGACGGTCAACACCCAAGCTGCCACTACTGCTGCCCCTGCCCAGGTTTCTGTTGCCTCCGTTGAGGAGCAGAAGCCATCCACCACTAGCACTAGCACCACCGCCGCCAGCGTTGCCACTACTGCAGCTGCCCAGGTCTCCGTCGCCTCCGTCGAGGAGAAGAAGGCTACTTCCTCTTCCACTAGCACCACTGCCGCCAGCGCTGCCACCTCTTCTGCGTCGTCCTCTTCCTCTTCCTCCAGCAGCACCAGCAGCAGCCTGAGCTCCGAGTTCTCTGGCGAAGCCACCTTCTACGGCGGCAATGTCGACGGCGGCGCCTGCTCCTTCAGCGGCTACACCATCCCCTCCGGCCTGTACGGTACAGCACTGGGCTCTCCCCGCTGGGACGACGCGGCCCAGTGCGGCTCCTGTGTCCAGGTCACGGGCCCCAGCGGCAACAAGATCAAGGCCATGGTAAGCAGACCTTACCCCTAAACCCCAACAAACCAAACCAAACTAACACCCCCTCCCAAAAGATCGTGGATGAATGCCCCGAATGCGACTCCAACCACCTGGACCTCTTCCAAACGGCCTTCGCCGAGCTCGCCGACATCTCCAAGGGCGTCATCTCCATCGACTGGGAGTACGTCGACTGCGGCATCACCACCCCGATCAAGCTGAACAACAAGAGCGGCACCTCCGCCTACTGGTTCGCCATGCAGGTCGAGAACAGCAACGAGCCCGTCACCGCTCTCGAGGTCAGCACCGACGGCGGCAGCACCTGGCAGTCCACCACCCGCTCCACCTACAACTACTTCGAGAACGCCAGCGGGTTCGGCACCGACACCGTCGATGTGCGCGTCACCGGCCAGTCCGGCGCCACCATCACCGTCAACAACGTCAGCGTGTCGTCGGGATCGTCCGTCACGGCCTCGTCCAACTTTTCTTAACCCTAAGAAAGCGGCGGGTGATGTGATGTGGTGTGATGACTGCCTTAAGACACAGGGACTCGACGTCACGCCGTACCTTTTGACTCTTTTGTTTTTTTACACTTCTTCAAGTTGACTTCCTTAGGGAGGTTGCCTTTAGCGCTTGTCTGCCCTCTCGCATGAGCAATGGTAGACAGCGCGGTATATCAATTTTGAGCTATATTCTTCTCTTGTATATATTGACCAAACCATTTCAAAAAGAACTTTCTCTATACTTTGACATCCAACCAAGTTCGAATACTATGCTTACTAGGCTCAGCCCGCTGCGATACCTGTCCCACTAGTTCTTTTGCATTGAAGTTCCATGCAGAAAGAACCCCTTTTGCCCGGGACCCAGCAGCCAGCCAGCTACCCTTCAACCGGCCGAGTTATCCCCATCGGCACTATACAACCAGGCGCAGCAAGACCCGGAAATAGTAGATTAAACCCCCAATAGTTTATGGGGCTTTCTGCAGGTACCAATGCATGTGTCCAATTTTCAATCATTCATGGGTTAATTGAATCTCGGAGGACAATTCCCGACAAAGCTAGTTCTCGACCAATCGATTGTCTATGGGAGGGCCCATAGGAAATGAAGATTATGAAAGAGAAGGAGTATGCTCAGGTTGCCTGCCTTTCCTTGCCAGACCCGGCTCGTGTAGATAGGTGACTGATTGGACAACACGCGGCAACAGTAATATCATCCGCATACTGTAGCCGCGGTTCTTCTTCGGGGGACACTACAGCTCGCAGTGCTTTCTAATGGGGGTGGACCCTGAGAGCTATAGCACTGCAGCTGCAGCTGCAGCAGCACGTGCGTGGTCAGCATGGGGGGGGGGGGGGGGTGCCTGTACCATGGCAGGAGGGTCAATCTAGGACCAGGGGTTTCACTCGTCATTGACTAATCCACCTGCGGAAATCTACTCGACGCTTCCATGGACTTGCTTTCCCCTTTCCACTCTCGGTCAAACTTGACGCCGCTCTTAACTCTTTGAATTATCTGGCGTAAGAAAAAAAGTCTAGAAGAGAAGAATCCAGTAGAGTCAATCCTGGTTGACAGCATGTTTCTTCATCAGGTCCCTAGTAATGTACTGGGATTTAGTTAGTAACCAGACCGTCTGTGTACATCGCTGCAGATTCAGTGTAGTATCGATGTTAGGTTGAGGATGTAAGGTCAAAATGCACCCGGGATTAGAAAATTGGGCGGAATTTGAAAAAGCTTCACGCTCTGCAGACATATCCAAGATGAAAGAAAGTGTCGGCTTTGGCCTTCACACACGTTGTCATGTATCGTCCCGTGCTGCTGCTGAGCTAAACAACTACCGGACATATCATGCATACCAGATTGGAGCATCTCCACGCGCTCGGGAGCGCGACGTGCATGCCATGTAGTTGTCGGCAGACGCTCGAGAACGAACCACAGACCCGAAATTAATACAACCAGGTCTACCATAATGCCCACCTGAGAATGACAGCCAGGAAAGCCGCCACAAAAGCCAAAACCAGTGCTCGGTGGCCCCTCATCCATGCAACTGACCCGCGGATCCGGCTTCGAACCTGCTCGATCTCCGAGGCCCGCGTACATGCCACCACGGTGAGCCGGAAGATCAACCGCAGCTTGATCCGCTGATACAGCGCCATCGGGATCGCGCCCTGAAAATCCGGGGTGTCAACCACGAGGAATTCGTCACGAAAGTAGAAATTCACTCGTTCGCCGAAGCTCCGCCGCAGCCAGACCCGACACAGCCGCTGGAGGTCATGCACGGGTAGCTGGGGAAGCATGCGGTAGAATGCGTCATTGCGCTCGAGCACCTCGTGGATCTCGGCGTAGCGTTTGTCTGTTGCCAGGCGAAACGCGGAGAGTGCGAGGTTCATGATCTCGCTCGGCAAGGGAGGCTGTCTTGACAAGACGTTCGCCGCGAATCCCGGTAGTGGAACGGTGGGAAGCATTCCTGCCATGAGGGCGAGAGCCTCGAGGGGCAGCTCGGACTGTCCCAGCAGCCATATTGTGACATCGAGGACCAGTGTTTTGTCAGCGCGATCGAGGAATCGCGTGAGCGCAAGGATAAGAGGCGGCGGCAAGTGGGCTTGAGCCACGAGAATCTTGACCACCGCACTAGCGATCCGGTCATCACTCGTCACAAATCTTTCACTGAGCTGGAGGAGCTTTCCAGGAGGCAGGAATGGTTGTGCTCCGAGAAGATCCAAGATGTGCTCAACGTCTCCTTCCCCTTCTCCTTCTTCTATATCCGCCGATTCCGCCAGATCTAGGAGTCTATTGCCTAAATCTAGAGGCAGACCTCGCCTGAGAGCGTTCCGGAATATTGGGTCGAACCTTGTCGTATGGTGATCTTGCGGATCGATCATCTGAGCAAACAGATGATAAAGCAACTCGCGCGGGACTTTTGGGTGCTTCCTCATGGCCTCGGATGCTTTGTAAGCCACAGAGAGATCTGGGTCTTCCAGACTGAGTACCATATCATCGAGATATTTTAGCTCATCATCTGGGTACTTTGTCAAGGTTTTGATTGCCTGATATCTAACTAGTGGATGATGATCCTCTAGCAAGCCCGCCATCTGATCTAGCACATGGTGTGGAAGTTCCGATTGACCACGTAGAGCTTTGGCGGCTGCTTCTCGAACAGACCACTTTGTGTCGCTCAACAACTCGGCCACCGCTTCAAATGTTGGATTAGATAAATCTGATCGACCGCCGAGAATCAAGGCAGCTACTCCTCGCACTGCGGGATCGATATGCTTCAACCTTCGTACAATGTCCTCTCGAATGTTTTGAGATGGTAAGAGCTGCTGCCAGACCGTAGTTCGTAAATCCTTTACCAGACAATCACCGAGGTGCACTTCTTGGTCAAGCCAGTCCGCTGTACTGGGTGACAAGAGAGGATGCTGGGCCAGAACCCGGACAGCCAATTTTCGCACGATGAAGCTTCTGTGGTCTAGTAAAGAACAGACATAGCCTAGAATACTTGGAGACACCAGCGAATGGCGGCATAATGATTTCTTTACAATGTCGAATGGCGACGGATAAGAACCGATTTGTTTGTAAACAAGATAGGTCATGGACTGTAAGATCTCAAGCGACAGATCCAAACGTTCCAGTATCTTGAGAGATTTGGATGTCACGTCCTGTGACTCCGGATCTGAAAGTCCATGGGCAATGGTATCGACATAGGCTTGCAGAGCTGAAGGTGGCTGGTCAGACAGAATTTCCAGTGCTGCCGCCTTCAAACCAGCTGCTCCATAATGCAGACAATCTAAAATTGCTCTCAGAAGATCCTGTGGTAAGGCCGGTACCTGGACGCCTCTAAAGTCGGACTCCTCCACTTTTGATTCATCATGCAGGTGCACAAGAAGAATCTCGTGAGCCTTTGGGGACAGTGATCGGCAATTCCTGAGCAGGGTTCGAACAAAGACCGGATTCAGTTCATCGTCGGAGACTTGGTCTACCCAGGAGGCTATCAAGTCAGTGACACTTGTAGAGACTCTGCGCTGAGCAATGACATTCAGAACATGTCGTCTGACGTCAGAACTTCGGTCTTTCAAGAGAGAAGATAGAACTGCATCCGGATATTCTGCCTCCCCTGCAAGCTCCCCTTTATCATAAGCTGTGACCTCGCAAGAGCTCCACCGGGCGAGCCGTTGGTAGTGACTCTGACGCAGAGATCTCAGCCTAGCAATATTGTTCGATGCAGGTACTTCGCTCCACAAGCGCATCATGAGCTTGCTATGCATGGGGCCCAACATATCTCGGGGTTTGTTTTCCATGGCCTCAAGGAATGCGGCCGTATGCTCCTCGCTTTGCTTTTGGTGGTTGTATCCGACACCCAGAAATCCGGCCACAAACCTCCAGAAAACCTCATAGCGAACGTTGTATTTCTCTCTTGCCATAAGACTTGGGGTGGAATATCAGTGTCTGTGCGGCCATTCAGTGTCAAGCTATGTATTGTGGCTTGGCTGGTCCAGTGTTTCGCGAAAAATCGGGCAGCGAAGAACTCTTGAACTGTCAAGTGTAAAAAGTGAAAGCTTTGCTGGGCATTGTCGGTGGCATCTGAAGAACGAAGAAAGCTTATCTCTTTGATTGTGCTCTCGTGTAGCCTCGGAACAAGTACATTGCCGTTCAGGAGATGTTGATAGATCTGACTTCGTACTGGAGCATCAAAATCAATGATCTTGGTGACTAGGCCATGGAAGGCCAGCGCCTCGAGGAGGTTGATTTCCTCCTGCATGTGTAGCTGCACCTCAAACTCTGACAGCTCTTCCGTCTGTTGTTCTGTCAGTGTTCTGCCGTCGATTCTTTTCTCCCTACGCCACAGGTCCTTCCGTAGTAGCTCCACGCAGATCGCCTGGTAGATGGTAGTCATAGTCCTGGCTGTATTGCTATTACCCAAAGGCTCTTTCCAAGTGTAGCAGAGAGCATCGAGTTGAATCGGGATCTGTGCAATTTCCCTAATTCGCGAATGCTCGTCAATGAACTCCCAGATCTTGTCCGCTGTTTCAGGGTCTGGGTGGATTCCTTTGGCTCGTATGTACTTTTCAATTTGCTCAGCGTGAAAGCCCACCGTTTGCAGCTTCAAGTCCTGCTTTGCCATGTTTAGCTTTCTAGTTGATTATGGACGTGAACTGATAATGGTTTGAGGCTGCTTGAACAGAGTTTGCAAAAAGCGGCCCATAGGTGAATCGGCATCCCAGTCTTGGGAGATTTCATCTAGGCCATCCAACAGCCAGAGCACCCGAGCGCTATTCCGGGCTACGATTGAACCCAAGGTGTCTGCCAAGAGCTCCGAATCCTGGTGCTGGGAGAAGTACTCGTGGTGAAATAGGTCTTTAATGGAATAAGAATCGGCATGTTTACCCTTGAGATGTCGCAGTGGCAGCCACAAAATCCAGTCGAAGCAATCGGACCACAGATTTCGATACAAAAAATCGTGAACGACTTTCTTGCAAAGCGTGGTTTTGCCAACACCTGCCTGTCCTTCAATGAAAATTTTTTTCGGCCGGATATTCCTGCCACCTTGTTCCCTATAGTCAAACAGGCTTTCCAGCGGCACCTCATCGCCTTGATCGGAGTCCACGACGTTGAGGTTGATGTAACAGTGATTCATAGGGAGTCTAGCCCCAGATAGACGCTGGATCTGCAGTCTTTTATCATCGTCCTGAGAGTAAAACTCCAACAAAGCATTCATGGTGTAATATTCTCGAGCCGGCATGCATTTCCGGTAGGAATCATCGAGGAGGGCGCTGCCGTTATCAGAAAGGTCATGTCTGACGTCCTCCCATCCGCAGGATTTGAGTGACCAATCGTATATTTTCGTTCTCTTAAGTGTACTGGCTAGTTTTTGCTCAGGGGGGGTGGTTTGTTCCTTGATCGCACAAACAGTGTGCATTTTCCAGGCTTGAACACGGTCATACTTGCTTTCGGGAATGCTCTTATAGATGTGTTGTATCTGATCCGGAGGGACAAGCTGGCTGATGAGATCCAGTTGGGCATACAAGCCGCAAAGAAAGTCCTTGTTGGCTCTACATTCTGCCTGTTGGATGAAATTGCTCAGCTCATCCCAGGACCGGGTGTGTATGAGGATACTGGTCGCTCGTAGGGCGGTATACCAAGACTTCCCCGTCCGCTTCTTGAACATGTCCCAGGTGAAGTCTCGGAGTCGCGAAGCTCCATCTATGCCAGACTTGACTGCCTCCCAGATTTTGCTCGGATCCACAGAGGAGACCGCGCCGGAAACGGCCATTGCGAGGTCGATGGCCCGCAGCAGCCCCCGCAAGGATGCTTTGCCGACGGTATCATCATCCTGGATCCCCCGCAAGGCTTGTCCGGTGTAGGCGGCAGCCTGGGCCACATGAAGGTCACGATCGTGACTGAAGCCATCGAGCAGGGCAATCAACGGCTTGTATAATCGTTCGTGGCTGATATCCGACACGCCGATGTCGACCATGGCGTCGATCACCACCCCTAGCACGCAGACCAGTTCATATTTCCGATCCACCGATCCACCCAGTCTATCTACTTGCTCCAATCGCACTTTCAGGCTTGAGAACAGGGCTCCCAGAATCTCCGTGCTCTCCGGCGACCACTGGCCCTCTCGCTGTCGAACCATGAATGCCAGCGATCGTAGAAGAACCGGAGAAAGCGAAGTGCCATCTGTGCTGCCGACAATGATCGCGTTGACGAGATTTCGCAGCAGCTTGATCCACCCATTGGGGACCAGCACTTCCGATAGACGGGCAGCCTCCCATGCCAACTGCGGTATGCTAGACGTGCTGAGGCAGGCATCGACGGCAGTCGTGCCCCAGGCCTGCAACGCCTCTCTTTCGGCCGTTTCAATGGCTTGATCCCGGAGACGAGAGATGAAATTGGGGAGAGTTATTGGTCGCGAGGAAATGCAAGGCATTATGAGAAATGCTTTGACGTTGAAAAGGAAAGAGCAAGCGGCGACTGAATTGGAAAATTGAAGCAAGACAGAGAGAATGAGACCGTCAGCATGCATCACTGACAGTGGGGCGATTGGACCACTAAGCCCCCTCCCTTTGCTAGCGCATGAGACTTATACATGAAAGTATACCGGGAGGACCGATCTGTAGTTGCGGCTTCGTGAACAAGCTGAAGTATCATGCTTACTGCGGTGCGAGGGAGCCCTCGACTTGGCGCATGCGCCGTCCGGAAGATGGGAGTCTTCTAGTAACTATGGCATCCGACGCCGCATGATCCGGTCGAAGAGCGTGCACGAGGTCCGAATTGCCGTTCCATGCGGCTATGGCAAAGCGGCTATGGCAAAGAGATGCAGCTCGCCCGGTGGGACATTCTCTGGACGGTATCCATGCCGCTTGATTCAGAGGGTATTAGGTTTCTTTATGAGAGACGCCAGCTAGATCGAGTCAGTGGGTGGGGGGAAAAGGAAGTCGTAGGCGAGAAGCAGGCGGGGGCGGTAACTTCAGACCTGGATCTGATTCTGCCACAAGGTCTCCTCGTCGCGATTGACACCTTCATACTCCGTTGATGCATTTCCCCAAACATTCTTCCTATTGACTCAATCGGAAGCGGACAAATTCCTTTTCCTTGGCTCATGCTGATGATGAAGATAAAGATGATGCTGACGATGACTATACGGCCCTCGACGTTGTCCGCAATGTGGAAACCACGGAGAATGTCTGCGGCTTCTGACAATCCGAATCACCGAACGAGGCGAGAGGAGCGACTTCTGGACATCGCTCAGAGACCATGTTCCAGGTTGTGCTGGGATTGTAGCGAGAGGTATTGCCATCGACCATAACCTTCTGTTGATAAACAGGAACAACTGTGAAATATCATACCGCAGCCTGCAATGCCAGATCGATGTGTCAGACTTTTTGTAAACAGTGGTCCTAATCCTCACGCACTGAACAACAAAGCAAACTCACACTCATCCAGCGTCCTGTAGAAACGAGGAACACTCCCGCATCCTTACTGTATTCATCATCGCCTTGAGGAATTTCTGCAATTGCCAATTTCGTCTGCACCAACGAGGAGCCTTATCCCCAAGCCCTGATAGATCAAAGCGGATCTGATCCGCATTGATTTGTTTCGAGTCTGGAAGCGATGGTCTACTCATCACCATCTTGAACTGCGGGAAGATGCTGGATCGAGGGTGGACGGGTTTATAGCTGATGGTATTCGTGCTGCGCAGACTGGCGGCTTCTCTCTCGGTCCTAAAACGGTCGTTGCCCGGACCGCAGGAGCAGCTGCTGCAAACTGTGAGTTCATCTTACTGACAGGATTTGTTGCGAGATGACAGTAGCTTCTGCATTCAATGTTTTATATCGCGAGGACGCTCCCACACTTCGTTTCATGGATTATAAGTCTGTGCGTCGGGATGGGGCCTAAATATAAGAACGCTGATCAAGATAAAGCTGCAGGCAAAGGCAGTCGCGTACATTGTCAGAGACAGAGGGAATCAGGTATATTTGACAAGTACAAACGCGAAGAACAAGCACAGGAGATGGCAGAACATCACAACGATGAAGAGGGTGACCGAGAAAGGATGATGCTGGTGACCACCTATCAGACAAGAAAGGATCCACACGATTAGTGTTGATGCACCTGGGCGTAGCAAAGAAAACAAGGCTCTGCAAAGGCTTATGAAGGAAACAGTCCCCGGAGATCTTTTGTCTTCCAATGCTAGTGTCAAAGATTTCTCACCGCCGTAGGCAGAAAGAGTGAATAGCATCATGCTCGTGCTAGCCTGCCTAGCAACTGCCTTGTCCTATATCGGGGTACATCTCCACCATGCAGCGATCTGTATCATCAGATCTGGCCCACTGTGGAGCCTGCCATGCGGCAATGTAGGTTCTACTAAGAGTTTCCTATATCTAAACGTATTGCTAGAGTATCAACCCTGAATACTCAATTCCTCTGCCAGCTACTAGACCCTTTCAGCACAGCTTAACTAGAACGCTTTCTTAGTCTCTATCATAGACAATCCAACATCAGCCCATCTTTTCTCCCTCTATGCCGTCCACAAATCTCATTCTGTAATCTGCAAACACTCACGCCAATTTCACACCACCGCACGATCGATATCCTCCCCTCCCACATCCCATACACAATAACACAGTCTCGAACTCATCACCATTCCCCCCACTGAACCCCATCCCTCTTCCATACTCCCTTAGATCTCAAACCACCACTGGCTCAATCGAGACCCAACCAACAAGAACGATGGACTACCAACCATGGCACAACGCCGCCTTCTATTCGGGTTTCGAATTCGCGATCCCCCCAGATCCCAAGGGAACAGCCCAAGACCGCAAGAAAGGCAAACAAGACCCCAAAAGGGGGAAAGCGAACACCAAGCCGGAGTCAGAAAGCAGCCAACCCGAACCTCCCAAGGGGAAACACGCCTCGAAAGGAGAACGCAAAGCCAAACCCTCCCAACCAGCGCAAGAAACCTGGAAGATCCAAACCGTCCTCTCCATCCGCACCCAACCCTCCGCAATCCCAGCAACCGAGCCCCCCGTCTTCACGACCATGACCTCGCTCGTCGCGCGCGTGAAGCAACTCACCGGACCCATCCGGGGCCGCGAAGCCATCCTGAAGATGAGACTGCACCCGGCCCCTCTGGCCCAGACAGCCTCCACAGCCTCAGCTCCCCAAACCCAGACCCTAACATCCCCAACCTCGGCCCACGACAAAGAAAAACAAGCCCTCACCCACCTCCCCAGCGCCAAGATCTACGCGCCCTACCTCATCACCACCCACCGCAGCGCCTTCGCCTCCCTTGCCGCGAACCCCCGCGACACTCGATTCACAGCCGCCGCGATGGCGACAGCGGTATCCGTCGAGGACAGCTTTGCCACAATCCTCCTCCTAGCCATGCCGGTCGGGACGGACTGCCGGAATATTCAGATGTGGAGGGATGCCGGTGGCAACGAGCGGGAGACGCTGCGCTCCGCGTTCCGCGAGACTTATCTGGCGCTGGCCGCGGCGGGGGTGATGCATACGCGTCCCGGGCCGGAGCATGTTATTTGGGATCGGAAGCATCGGAAGTGTTATATTGTGGGTTTGGGGAACGCGGTGCTGGGCGAGAGGGATCGGGTGGTGCCGGTTGGGTTGTGGAATCGGGTGTTGGGGGTTTGGGGGCTGGAGGGGGTTCATTGGGGTGTTGAGGGGGAGGATGGGGAGGATGGGGAGTAAGGAGTGGGGGAGCTTCAGTTGTGGATCATATTGATTGGTTTGTGTGTGTGCAGTATGCAAGACGGCCGATGCTTCTTTGGAGTCATTGTTGAGCTTGATAGAATCAGTTTCTGGTATGGGGATGCATACACCCACAGGATCTTGGAGGCTCGGTGGCTTGGTTCTGTCTTAGATTCGAGACTCATGCTATCGGGATTTGACAGGTCAATGTGTACGTACTATTTTGCTTTATCTTGGTGCACAGTATGCCATGCATACCTTATCGCCATTGAGAGCTCGGATCTATGGCTGTAGTCAGTGTATAACTAGTAGTGTCATACTCACCAATTCCCCACCTCAATGCTAGATCACCCGAGGTCTCCACATTTCCGGACAGCGGAATGCTGGGGTTAGACGAAACTAGACCCGCGGCAGGGTTGCGGCTGAGACGCGGGTTCATACACGAGACGTTTTACTTATGCATCCAATGACGTTTCAAGGGTCACCTTGGCCTCAATTACACCCAGAGCGGCACACCCAGAGAAATAGTTAGTCATCTGAATTTCGATAAGAGCAACGGACTACAGACCATATACAAAGCCTGCAACCCCACTGCTGGCCATGCGATTCGCCGACTAACCCATCCGTTCGAAAAACTAGCATACAACAGGGAATAAGAGCACGAGCAGGGGGATCAGAAAGCCGACCATGGCAAATAGATTAGCAACAACTCATGTTGTCTTACCATCAGAACAACACCATGAAATAATTGTACCCAGTGAAAAGACCCTTGCGAAAAACGAAAACAAGAAAAAGAAACCAGGTGGGGATCGAGTAGGATTTGTGCAGAAACGTTGTAATATCAACCGGCAACATCAAGCGCAAAGAAAATGAAAAGGAGCGAGCAAGTCACAACTCAGCCCCCGAGAATGATCAAGTCGTAGCACATATGGAATGGCCCAAGGAGAACGCCGCGCAGCCACAGGAATAGAAATTTGACGAACAACAAGAAACTAGACTTGGCCGGGATCCACCTCAAGAGGCTCCAGCTCCTTTGCTTCTTCATAGTCATCGAACTCAAGACCTGCATCGCGGCAACGTTGCAACCATTTCAGAGCAATGTCCCCACGGCGGTTGACCTCGATCTTCAGTTTCGAGTTCTGAGAGCTGATTTCGCTGATGGCATGACTCGTGGTCATGTTGTTCTGTTCCCAGCGCTCACTCATTGCCTTTTTCTCCTCATGCAACTGGCAGATGTACTCAATCGCACGCTGCAAAATGGCACCCTTGTTCTTGTCGCAATTCGGCACAAGACGAGCAATCTGGTTGATGCCCTCATTGATGGCTTCACGACGACGACGCTCCACTGGAACAACATGTTAGTATCGCTGATCATGCACCGCCTTCTGGAGAATCCTACCTTCTTTGTGGTTGTTCTTGCGAATCTGGTGCCACTCAGGAGAGCCAACAGAAGGCTTCTGGTTCATACTCTGTGCCTCACGCGCAGCATACACCGCAGCAGCAGTGGAGTTGTGGCCATGAGTGGATCCAATAGCCTGGCTGATGTCATCTCCGAAGGTCAAGCCGTGCGCAAGGTTGTTGTCGAAGGTGTTGTCGGGGGGAGGTGGGTATTTGTTCTGAGGAGTGTGGGCAGCGAGCGCAGCTTTAGCTGTCAGGGCGTTGTCGTCCGAGATACCATTCTGCGGACCGACGTGCTGAAGAATCTGTTGGTCGATATTCAACTCTGTGGACGGGAGGCCGTGGGTATCGTAAGATCCCAGTGAACTGTGCGTGAAGTTGGGCTGATTGTCCGTCGGGGGGAGGCTCCCGTTGCTCCCATTCGAGGAGCGGTTAAGCCGCTGGGCATCGGGGCCAGTTTCATCAGTGCTGTCACGCTTGCGCTTGATGGCGACACTGCCATCAGCAGTACCCATGGATGGATCAGACATCGTGCCGATCTCTGTACCCTGCGACTCACGATGGTTATTAGCCAATCGCGCAGCGACGGAGCCTCCAAGAATCGGTACCTATTAGAGATGATAGAACTCGATGGTATCGAATCTAGCCGTTACCAGGTCCCCAGGGCCAAATCGAGATTGACTCGGTCGTTGTGCGACACTGTAGCTCCCGTTAGTTGACATGCCACCTTATGTGAACCAACGACGCAGGAAAGCAAGACATGCGAGTGCAAGCATATGCAGACAGGCAACGGTGCATCGAGTCAGCTGAAGATTAGTGGAGATGTTCTGGGGTTTCAGCAAATAGTGATCAACAAGCTTGATTGTTGATGCTTGCCTGGTACACGCGTGAGTGACGCGCACAGCGGCGCAACAAACAGCCATGGTCTGCCCAAAAGATGAAAGCACCTTGCATAACAGCAGCATAGAATACAACTACATTAAATTCTTCTTGAAAGAAGACACAGTGGTGAAGAAACAATAAAGGTGAAGACATGTTCACAGCTCGTCAGTTGCCGTTGCAGCAGCAGCAGCAGCAGCAGCATCGGAGACGCGTCCGGGTGGTTCTGCGACCGAAGGAACCGCGCAAAAAACACAGCATCATTATCCCCGACCGTCGCCTAACCCAGCCTTGGCCAACATGAGGCCGAAGGGATGTGGGGATAGGAAGACTTCTGAGGTACGAGAAGGTGGATAGCAGGAGAGGAGAGTCCGTTAAGTACCCAGAGGTGAAGTTGGAGTTCAAGAAGGAAAGGGGGAGAGCTGGTTTACCTTGGGATGGTGTCTCTATCACCTGACAGCAAGTCACCTGCCACGGGCAACAACAAGACGATGAGATACCGATTCGTTCGCGATGTCGATAAAACGAATTTGATTCCCAAAAGAAAAGTTGGGATCAAATCGTCAGAGCTGGAAATAGCGAGCAGACCGGATTAGAGCCCAAACAAAAAGGTGTGGTGGTTATTACAATGGAAAAAAGGGATACATGGGGAGTTCGAGTAGAGAAGAGAGTCGAGTAGAGAGGGACTGCTCACGTGGCGAGGGACGAGGATGAGAATCGAGGAGAGGGACAGAGAGTAGGACTGAGGAGAACCACCAACTCCGGGTGCGGACAGCGACCTAGGGCGCAGATCAGTCACCTGACACTGTGCAAAAGAGACTGTCCTCCCCCTTGGACCACTGCACTCATTGACCATCATACCACCATGATTCTGTGATTATCTACATTTTTGCTGCACTTTCTCCTCCCACCCCCCCCCCCCTCTTTCTTCCCACCCACCTTCGAATTCAACCTAATTCAACCGCTCTCTCATCCACATGTCATGTGCTGCCATCCCGTGTCCCCCTCTTCTCTCAGCTATCCAGCTTACCCTTTTGATTGGCTAGCCGCCTATGCTCTCCCGGTAGCCGGAGGAGGGGTTGACCCGGAATCACGTGGAATTCGACAACCCTCCTTGCCCGAAAGGGTTAACAAGTTTATCAGCCCGGAGGTGTAGTGCCCAGTGCCTGCACTGCCCGAAGAGCGGAGGAAGATGGTCGGAGTCAATTGCCATCGCCCAAAAGGCTTCAATCGTCGAAGGAGCAATCCTACCATCTGCAACCTCAGCTATTGGCGTATAGACTAGGTACCTTCATTGCTGCGCCATGGGAGAATAGGTTGCCTGCTCATCCCGGTCGGCCCGTTCCTTCTTAGACAGCAAGTCAGTAAAATAACTTAACACTATGTAGTTAGATAGTCGTCAAAGAGTCCAGGCTAATTAGACTAAGGTAGTCAGCATGTATGGGTAATGTAGCTATGTAAGTCCATTCCATAACTTCCCTGATGCCCGTTCGCTTAGCTGCCGATCCCTCGTCCTTGCGCAGCAGCAACGCTGTTCATTGAATGGGCTCCGTCATGATCTACTTCTCCGCTCACCCAGTAGGATGAACTGTAGCTACTGCCAGTATGTCCGCCATGACCCCCAGCTCGTCCACATAGATCTAGTCAATCCACCTGCTGGGAGGGGTTTGTAAACATGCAGTTCGAAGAGTGAGTCCCTGAACTTTCCACCGACAAGGATATCGACCCCTTTACTATCTTTCCAGCAGAAGAAATATCCTTTGCCTTGGATGAGTTCTCAATCCCTCCCCCTCTGTCCGCTGACTTCAATCATCACATGTTTGCTCTCTTGACCGGATTTAGGACTCTGGAGTAAACATTCGAGGGTTACATGGAGAAACGAGGCCAAGAAGGCAGAGCAGGTCTGAATGCCCGGTCGTCAAGAAGGGAGCGGGGTGGTGAACCATAGGATGGCAACAGTGGTGGATCGCTGGGTCATGAGATAAGGTGCTTGTGTGGGATCCAGAACTAATTTACCACCCAGCAAGTATTTTGCTTATGCACGGAAGAATGCACTTCTCGAGAGAAATCTTGGCCACAATGCAAGCCTTCAAAAAGGTGGTTCTTGAGCATGAGAAGAATATGGGGGCAAGAAAACTCTGGTAGTGTTGCTGCAAGACACTTGAACTTGATCGTTGATGACTCCTGTCACATGGATGGCTGCTCAGAATAATGGGTCCCCCCCCCCACCACCACCCAACTTGATGTCTCACATGATAGCGCAGCAGGGACCATAGCAAGGCTGGAATTTAAAGGTGTGGTGGGCTCCTCGAGTGTTTTGAAGGGGCAAAAAAGAAATAAACAGAAAACGGGGGCCAAAAAATAGTTTTACCATATATGAGCACGGCGTGCTGTCGGGGGAAATGGGCCGCAGAAGGAGAAAGGTTTGTCGAAGGGAACGGATCCATGCTTTCTAGTCTACTTAAAACCAAAGAGTACCAAAGAGTACAACTGACAATGACAGTCGGCTTTTACGATGATATCACTCCAACCACGGGATGCAGACGGTAGGTAACTAGATACTAGCCTGCAACGCCCGGCATGGGTCGTAACTTAACAGCGCCCTGCTGCAACCCAGCCAACCCACATTAGAGAAAGCCGACCTCCTGCTGAGTCGCACCCTTAGCTCGACGATCGCTTTGCTAACGCAAAAACCATGCTTGGGTCTGCCGCAGTATCAGCAAAACATATCCCTTCCGTTGTTGCGCCCATCATGTCCCAACAAAGGATTTTGACGTCAAATTGGCTTTCTCCGTCATCCTCCGCGTCCGTCTGGGCTTTGGAACTGGTCAGATTATCTGAAGAAGTAGCTCTTGACACGGGAAGAGTCTTGGGTCTTTGTGAGATGGCGATGATGGTACTGGTACCGGCATAATGCACCGGGTTCGCCCCCGCTGCTCCTGGCTCCTCTCCCGCTCGATTGGCAAAGACGATAACGATATCCTTGCTTCGATCAGAGCCATCCTCGTTCAGATTAACTTCATGACTCATTCTTTTCGTGATGAGTGGCAAGAACCGCTGGATCCAGTAATTGAACGTATCTAGATCAGGCTCATCCGCGAGGAGGTCCAGCTCCTCCCGACCCAAGGAAGATAGCCAAGCCATGGACAGAATGACCAGCTGAGACTTCGAGTCCATGACTCGATTGGCAAACTCCCATGCCGTGAACGGCGCCTCAAACTTGTACGGGTTGATGTCCATACAGATCCCGAAGGAGGTGGCTATGTGTGACTCGTGGGAGTGTTGATCCCCTTTCCGGAATATCAGATTCTCAAAGCCACGTTCCACGCTACCTTCTGATGCCCAGGTTTCGTCAGTGTAGTAGAGAAAGGATTTACGGTAGTTGAGAATGTCCCGACCATTCTCATCGACCACAAGGAGAGAATTGTAATAAGTCTCGTGCTGACTACTTGAGTCCTCTCCTTCCCGGGTCGCCGTCTCCGTGTAGATCTCAGGATACCCCACGCAGACTTTGCATTGTAGGCGCCGGGCGGTCTGCCGCGCCCAGTCGGCCGAGGGACCTTCTCCTGCCGGTTCCAGATACGGCTTGATGGCCTCCAGGGAGGGAAAGTTGTATCCTATTCACGTCAGCAAGCTTTGCTCACCAAGCTGTCTCGGGGAGAGTTTGAGGTGAGGGAGCTTGGAGGTGGAGGTGGAGGTGGATCAGCAACACAAGCCACCCAGCCCAACCATCCCGCAGCCCATGCATGGTGTGACAGTCAAAGGGAGGACAAAGTCGCACTCACCCGTCAAGGCCAGCTCGGGCAGAATCAGAATGTCTGGCTTCAAAACGTCCAGGCCAACCGCCCCCGTACCGACACCTCGCACCACCTTCCCATTCTTCAGTAATTCATCGGCTCTCTTTATATTACCCTTGACATCGCCTAATTGTGGGGCGAATTGAAGTGTCGCTATCCTCATTCCCTTGGAATGGTTGTGGGTTAGACACTGTCTAGAGGCACTGTTTGTGGTGGTGGTGGTGGTTGTTAGCGAGCAGATGTTTGAAGTTTCACGGGTAGGATGAAGAAGGATAGTAGCAGTGTGGTGCTGGTGCTGGTGGTTGAAGATGACGGGTAAGGAGCGGACCCAGCGTTGGAGACCAGCTCCAAGACGGACCGAGATGAGTAGCTTAACGGGCGCAATGATGTTGACGATGAGATGACTACTCGAATTTGGAGACTATTTTTGGGATTCTTGCATCAAGCAATGTCAGAACATTTGATTGTACGGAGTAGCAATCATGGTCGTAGTAGTACTGACTATACAGGGCCAGGCACGCAACCATGCAAACAGGCAAACCGCAGCAACACGTGATTGAAGATCCAGGCCGGGCGGATGTCGTCATGGGCAGGGGATCCTCCTCCATCTTCTTAAATGAATGAATGAATGAATGAATGAATCAGCAAACCTTACAGCAATCACCAACTCCACCACATAAAGAAGGGGAAATGATGCAATGGCTCTCTTCGCCGGAAATGGCGCCCTGAACAAACTGGAAGTGATTTTAAGCTTCCCCTGCCGACTGGATGTGATGGAATGGGATGGAGCCTTACTTGGCTATTGACTCGTTTATTGTTTCTGCGCCGGGCCCAAGTGGATAGCGGCTGGTCTTGGGGGAAGTCGTCCGTTGTAATAAGAATCATGGCAGTCCCCTGGGGAAGGGGGGGGGCTTTCTGTGCTGTTTCATTTTTCTTGTCGTTCATTCCTTTGCTTTCTGTGGATCATTGATCGTCATTGCTCCTTTCCTGCCATCCCGCCTACTGTACTCTATATAAGCTTCTGGTGGAGGTTTGAAGTATACACTTAGAGATTTGATTGATCCCACTCACATCGGCTGTCATTCCCTTCTCAGTTCTCACATTACCATCACACTCGTTCTTCCCTAACCTTCCTTTACTCTCAAATTTTCCTTCACTGCTTGAGATAAACCCAAAGACATATAATCATACCTACCTGAGGATACTTACCAGCGATCATTCAACCACCGCAGCAGCAGCAGCAGCAGCAGCAGCATTGAATGTCGTCGTGCTCAGATCAGGCTCTGTCCCTTGCCGCGCCCCTTTTCGATCCTTGCCAGCCAATCACCGCTCGTCCACACGGTCGCTTTTATCGACATCATTTCTTCTTCCGCAGCCTCTCACAATCAGCACTAGCAATCTCAACTCCAACTTTACTACTACCACCACCACCACCACGTCTTCTTCCTTCACCACGGCCTCTCCTCCACAGCCTCATCATATCCCGTTGCCACACCTGTCGTCTCTCCCCACAAATACGACGCCCGTTAGGCCGCCGTTGGACCCACCCTTACCATCGTCCGAGGTTAAAGATCGTGCTGCCCCCCGAGCCCACCGCGTCCGCCGCTGTTCGTTCGAATCGTACCATACTACCACATCAGCCGACGTTGACGCCGCCGAAACCTCCTCCCAAGCCCAATTCTCTTGCCGCCGGAACAGTTCCTGGATCTCTCCGTCGATCTTACGGCCGCCATCGGTGCGACTCGCAAATCCCATCAATTACGTGCCGCGCATCACCCCAGTCACTGTCCCTCGGTTCCCGCAGCCATCGGAGGAGGATCTGCCGCTCGAGGCGCATCGGGACGCCTATCCTCTTCTGACCATCCCCGAACAACGCCGGAGTCGACTCAACCCGTCCCCCAATAGTCTGTTGGTCGAGCGCAGCCAAGGAGAAACCGAGAGTGGCCGCTCTAGTATCGCAGTGCCTCGAGGCCAGAGGCGCAGTGGCGCAGTCGAAGAATATTTGATCTCGCAAGAAATGTCCGATCTGGGGTTGTCGAATGTCGCCCAGGATGCATCCAAACCACGCACCCCGGAGCGGGCGCATCTAGGCTTGGAGTTCATGCCCGACGGCCCAGGACCGCACCCGGACGATCGGCCCCGTCATGTCCGGTCGCAAGTTTCACTGCGATCACAATCTCATATCGCCTCCGTGCCCTCAAATACGGGGTTGCCCGCCGGTGGAGAGCCTGAGATGGCCGAAGAACTGGCTTGGGGCCCTGCTCACCCGTGTTTTCCTCACTTCAACCCGCATGTTTCGATCAACTCCGAAGAATTCCTCACAACGCGTATCATCCGGATTCGGCGGGATTGGATGGTTAAGGGGGATCTCGCTCCGACTTTCTCGAATCTATATCCCGAGATTCTCGATCCGCTGCTTCCGGAGCAAGAATTCCGCAGAGTCATCGCTACGGTGAATGACGAGCTCATCAAAGCCTTCGATCCCTTCAGCTTCCGCAATATCATTGACAGCGTCTTGGGCTTGCTTACTGGCTGGTTATGGGAGGACGTGGGTGCTCCCGCGATCAAGAGTCACTTGAACAGCGTGGAATCGTGGCTAGAGAACTGGAATAGGGAGGTTGGGGCGAAGGATGGAGTGCACATCTGGAGTCTACGACGGACGGCCTATCTTTCGTTAGATATCCAAATCCCGGATCCAAAGGTTGGTATCATTCCTAGTGAGAGTGGTTTCTCCTTGCCCGGAACTCGCCCGAGCAGTGGTGCGGTGTGAAACTTACGGCCGTCGTTTTCTTTTCTTTGCCTTTCCTTCTCTTCTCTTTCACTTTCCATATTTTGCCTTCTATGTCTTAAAGGCTTACTTCTTTTTAATCATCGCTCTCTTCACACATGCATATATTGCCCCCTTGCACATGTGCGCGATGCTGCGAGACATACTTAATTTTTAACTTTCACTTGTTCCTTTGATTGTTTTACATGCACGATATCCATGCCTGGTTACAGAGTGTTTGATACCATTTGACTGTTTTGTATGAACAAGTGCTGGATGTTCTGGTTTTTACACCAGCTGGAGCATCCTCAAGATGCCTGTTGTTGATGTTACCATTCCTTCTTTCTCCCACCTTTGTGGTTCTATTACTTTGTTGTTTGTCTTCTACAACTCACTTCCCCGAGATTCATAATACTCTCCCTGATGATCGTCGCGGGTAGCTTGACCCGGATGTGCTGTTAGATGTTGAATGTGGGTGAGCGAAAGGCAGGCTACTGTACTCAAGATGTTGAGCGTGTGTTGATGGATGCAGCTAGAGCAGCAGAGCCATAAAAGCAATGATTGACTGCCATCAAGTCTAGAGCACAAGGATTGGTCATTGTACCACTGAGTGCACTGAGATTCAAGTAGGTTGGATGGCATAGTACCAAACAAATCAATTACCTATAATGCGTAGAGGAGCCCACTGACTAGGAGAATGCTATGTAATTCTGAAAGTCTGCTTTTGCCACCAAATTTCTACACGATATATTCTGTGGCCAAACATCGACATTTAAGAAAAAGATCATGAAGTTACACAAGTAACATAACTAGTGTGAGCATACACCACTAATTATCGTAGGTAGTCTACAGTAAATAAGGCTTTATGAGATACTTCTTAAAGCAAGTTCACGACTTAAGCCTTACAATGTACCTCTCCAAGTCAGTCGTTAAGCAAGTATAGAAGTATAGAAACAAGGTCTTATGTTAGACAGCATGTCTCTTAGCACAGAAGCAAGTAATTAAACAAGGCCTTATAAATCACCTTTCTCAGTAATGAAAACACTGAAATATCCCATTCTTATATACCCCTATTCATTTCAATAGATCCTGCGGTAGAAAGGGATAATTTTACATGCAATTCGTATAGATAGTGTGCAGTTCACTCCCCCACACCCACACCCGCCTTCCGCCCCATCGCCGATTCTGGATGAACCTCCGCCGCCGAAAGGGTGCACTGCAGTTCTCCCGGCGTCCACCCACCGGCACCCACCGAGAGACCCCCTTTTCCAAACCAACCCTCCCCCTCATTCCCCTCACCCCTCTTTCTTTTATCTCCTCCTCCTCCTCTTCTCTTCGCCCCTCAACCTCAGCCCCTTCACTTTCCACCATGCTCTCCGGCATCCTCGTCTTCAACCAAAAGGGCGAGAATCTCATCTTCCGCTCGTTCCGCAGCGACTGCCGGCCGCGCCTGGCCGACATCTTCCGCATCCAGGTCATCTCCAACCCGCAGGTGCGCTCGCCGATCCTGACCCTGGGCTCAACAACCTTCAGCCATGTCAAGCACGAGAACATCTACCTGGTCGCGGTGACCAAGAGCAACGCCAATGCCGCGCTGGTCTTCGAGTTTCTGTATCGCCTGGTGATGCTGGGGCGGAGCTATTTCGGCAAGTTCGACGAGGAGGCCGTGAAGAATAACTTTGTGCTGATTTACGAGTTGTTGGATGGTGAGAGAGGCCCTCCATAGCATTTGTTTCTCCAATTTTCCCAGACCGCACACTATCTGACTTCCAGCGAACCGATTTAACCCCCGTCTCTATGCTCGCGGAAACTGAATGGTTGGCTAACTACGGTCTCGGAACGAAAAAATAAAAACAGAAATCCTCGATTATGGCTATCCGCAGAACACGGAAACCGACACGCTGAAGATGTACATCACGACGGAAGGGGTACGGTCGGCGATCGCCAACTCCGCGACGGACTCGAGCCGGATCACGATGCAAGCGACGGGGGCGCTGTCGTGGCGGCGGTCGGACGTGAAATACCGCAAGAACGAGGCGTTTGTGGACGTGATCGAGGACGTGAACCTGCTGATGTCGGCGACGGGGACGGTGCTGCGCGCGGACGTGAACGGGCAGATCGTGATGCGGGCGTACCTGTCCGGCACGCCGGAGTGCAAATTCGGGCTCAACGATCGGTTGTTGTTGGATGGGGACTCGGCCGGGGGTGGGAGTGGTGGTGGGAGTGGGAGCTCGTTCGGCGGTGGCGGCAGCAGCGGGATGGTGTCCGGCAACCGGGATGGGACGACGAAAGCGACGCGCGCGGCGGCAGGCTCGGTCACGCTGGAGGACTGCCAGTTCCACCAGTGCGTGAAGCTGGGCCGGTTCGACGCGGACCGCATCATCTCGTTCGTGCCGCCGGACGGGGAGTTCGAGCTGATGCGCTACCGCGCCACGGAGAACGTCAACCTCCCCTTCAAGGTGCACCCGATCGTGCGCGAGGTCGGCACCACCAAGGTCGAGTACAGCGTCGCCATCAAGGCCAACTACAGCTCCAAGCTGTTCGCCACCAACGTCGTCATCCGCATCCCCACCCCGCTCAACACGGCCAAGACCACCGAGCGCACCAGCCAGGGCCGCGCCAAGTACGAGCCCGAACACAACAACATCGTCTGGAAGATCGCCCGCTTCTCCGGCGGCAGCGAGTACGTGCTCACGGCTGAGGCGACGCTGACCAGCATGACCCACCAGAAGGCCTGGAGTCGGCCCCCGCTCAGCCTGTCGTTCAGTCTGCTCATGTTCACCAGTTCGGGGCTGCTGGTGCGCTATCTCAAGGTCTTCGAGAAGAGCAATTACAGCAGCGTCAAGTGGGTGCGGTATATGACTCGGGCGGGAAGCTATGAGATTCGGTAAGTCCACCTGCTCACCCGGTCCTTTGTGCCTGGCTAATTGGTGATGGATGTGCAGATTCTAGCTTGTTCACTGTTACTGCAGGCAGGGCAGGTCAGAGCGGTTCCGACTCACGGTGAGAAAGAAAAGGACCAATGCGAGCAAAACGAAGATTTCAACCCGATATCCATGTATTCCACCCCTACATTTTATTAGTACTTCCAGGTCCACATCATCGAGCTGGGCGTTCTGGCGTTTGTTTGTTTGTTTGTTTTTTTTTTCTTTTTTTGTCCGTGTCTGCATATTTAAATCTTCTGTCTTTGGTCGGGCTGAGGTGAAAAGAGACAATATCAAGAACTGCATAATGAATTTCAGTACAAACTTTCCATCCATATTCATATTCAAGGTAAGCCGATCCATCTCTAGAACCAACCCACAAGGTCCCGCCTATCTGTTGAGTCATGATCACCCCGTAGACAATCAAGACATGCGAAGCACTTCAGCTTCATCTGATTATGCTTATATGTTTCAATAACTCCCGACGTGTATAATGAGGCCCAGAGGAAACCGGACAAGCAAAACCGGGCCTAAGCCATCTAGTTGACGTTGAGTACAAGAAAAGAAGCAGTAGCCCACGGTGGTGGGAAATGACCAGATTCTGTCCTGGAGTCCAGTAGTACAAGGAAGCCGAGCGAGTGTACCTTCTGTACAGTACCTAGGTATGTAAATAGGCAGGCCGGACCCTCTGAATCCCCACTCATCGGCTGTGCGGATTACTTGTTCGTCGTCCCTCGCAATCAACTAGCGTCGCCCGACCAGATAGATCACTCGGATCGGTCGAAATCCCTGTTTAGGCTACTGATTACGGAGACCGACCTCGACACCAACATGTCATACACGAGTTCCCCAATACACAACATAGAGTGTTGATTCCCCGGGAGATCCGCAATCAACGAAGAGCTTTATCACTTTACGGTGTTTCAGGTAGCTTAGCTTAGCTTAGCTTATATGCCAACGACCCTAAGCTACTCCATAAGGAACTAATTCAGAAAAGAAAACGAGACCAGATATGGCCTCAATGGAATGATTTTGTGTCTAACTCCCCCCAAAAAACCCAACCTCGAAGCTAGACCATAGAAAGAACTGAAGGGGGAATATCCGCCAAAAACAATAAAAAAGAGACCCATATCCCATAAGCCAAACACAGAAGCCAAAAACACGCCTAGATTTTAGTTCGCCCCGTATAAACCGTGTCCCCCTTTTGTAGGCTGTAGAATACATAGATGGATATAGATACATTAGTAACGTAAAGTCGGGAGTTGCTGGACAAAAGTCCCTGAGGTCCCATCGAGGGACTTTGTAAGTTCGATAGATCAAGTCTCTCCGTCAAGGAGGTGGGTTGCTTGATTGTGGTCGGTCGGTGAAAGAAGGCGGAGGAAAGAGTGATTAGAATGGAAAGTATGGGTGGAAGATAACAAGAGAAAGTAGAGAAGGAAAGATCAGATCAAGCTCTCATCCAATCGTCGACGGACTTTACGATCGCTGGCGCGACGGAGGCCGATGTGTCCATCGCTGAGTAGGGATCGCCAGCGGCGTTCGACGGAGGCTTGATCCTTGCCGAGTTTCTCGGCACATTCGTCCCAGGTGCGCTGGGAGAGTTGGAATTTCTCCAGTACGAGGCCGATGAGGCGTTGGTCGTCTTCTTCGGCCCAGGTGAGATCGGGACTGGATGGGGATGAGGTGGACAGCGCGGATTCTGAACCCTCTATTGAGGGAAGCGCTGTGTCCGGGTTGTAGGGGTGCGTCGTTGCGCTTGCGCTTGCGCGTGCTTTGCGGGCCGCTGGGGCTGCGTGTTGCTGATGCGCCGGTGACGCTGGGGATTGCGACACGGGTGGTGAATGGAGAGAGTAGAAGTCTGAATGTGACAGGCCGAGAGGCAGATCATAGGGAAGGTGTCTCTGACGTTTGGGTGTGGCGAAGCGCTGCGAACGCATCGATTGTTCATCTGTTGGTGTCGTCTCGGGATCGGTCTGGCGATCAGAATTGGTCACTGTGGGAAATTCGTCTTCTATCTCCGATTCGAAAGCGTCGCGGCGGCGCTTGAGAGCGCCAGACGAAGGGCTTTGTGGGGTTATCCGGGAGGGGGGAATCTGTGTGTGTTTGGTCTCTCGCTGGCGTTGGCGCGACGATGGCTTGCGCGATCGAATCTGGACAGGACTTTGGAGAAGCTCAGGATTTGCGCCTCGGGAAGGAGGCGCTGGGGATCCGTGGAGAAGTGATTGTAATGCGCGGCAGGTTCCGAGGAGGCCGTTGCCTGAAGGAACGAAATCGTCGTCGGACGGGGGAGGTGTTGAAAACAAGCGGTTGGGAGTGTAGCGCGAGCGGCTCGCCGGTCGCCGTACGTCGCAGGAAAGAGCGGATGGAAGTAACATGATGTGAAGTATACGATGCGATTTGCGATTGGGTGGAGTTGATAGTGACAACACGCGATAGGAAGTCGAATAAGGGTGGTGAGTAGTAATTTAGGATGGTGGCGAAATTGTGCGTCAAATAAGAGGTTTGCGCGCGTCGGGCTTGTTTTTGCGCCGGAAGGGGTGTTGAGACGAGTATGACGAGCTGCCGGGTTCAAAAGCAAAAGATTGTGATAGGAAAGATAAGCGCTTCAGTCGGAGATGGCTCCGAGTGATGCGACGAGAGAGCGACGATGATGGTTGATGGAAGGAAACGACGGAAGACGGAGGAGAATTGCGAAGCGGCGGGCGGGAGGTTTGAGGGTGGGAAGATGATGGGGGAATGATGTATGGCGGCGCACGGCGCCGAAAAGGAGTTGGTCTCTTTTTTTTTCAAACTTTTTTTCCCTTTTTCTCGGTTCCGCAAACGGAGGAGCCTCAGGATGCAACCACCCTCCGGATTGGGTAGTTTGATGCCTGAAGGAATGGGCTGAATGAAAGTTTATTCATTCGAAGTGATTGCAATGATGGCTGACTGCAAGCTGTCAAGCAGGAATAGACTCAATTGGTGTGGCTTGATTCAATCAATTGATTGATTCCACTGATTGATCAAGTGAAGGAATGAATCAGAGTGATGGTCAATAAAAAATGGCAGTGACAAGGGTTCTCTCATTCCCTCTCCTGCGCCCTCTTTCCCTCCTGAACTAGGAACTAGGAACTAGGATTGAACTCTGCTTTTTTACTCTCTTCCTCCCCTCGTCAAGACAGGGAATGGGCTATTTAGAAGGTCTACAACGGCTGCAACGGCCATGGACGCGAGCAAAAAACGCCGCCCCTTGCTAGTGGGCGAAGGGAGTACAGGAGCGCAGGAGCCACTGCGAAGGAATGCCGTCTGCAGTCTGCAAGGCACCAATTCATCGCCGTGTCCACCACGATGTCATGGACTGATTGTTGCCTTGCTCTGGTTGTCATCAGGTTGGCCCGTGCTGTGGAAAGTGGGACGACGTGAACTTGCGTTGCGTTGCATTGCATCTACAGTCATGATGGCCGCGCTCCGCGGCGATCCGCTGCCGTGACATGCTCATGGTCATCAGAGTACGCTGTCGGCTACACTACTGAGAACGTCCAGATTCTCCCAGTCCCTTGACACTGGTGACCTGTGGCCTCAGAAGACATCGCGTTCCTCTATTCAGTGGTTGGGAAGGTGGGATACTTCCATCTGACACCCTCCTTCAATCCTAGTATCCACCTGGATTCATCCCATCCAGCTCCCCTCTACCTCCAGGGTTATTACCCAATATATTAAAAGGCACTCTTTCCCGTATCCTCTAGGGCATCATCAATACTCTTCCTCCAGCATTAGGACAATATGAGGATATCATGATCACCCGCATGATATCACACTTCATATCTAGACTTCCCAAAGCGGCATAAATTGGGGTTTCAAGACGCGTGACGCGTGCCGTGTTCCAGTTCGCGTCAGTGGCTCCTCCACCAATTAATGCCTGACTGCCTCAGCACCTGATCGATACTCTCTGTACCTTACTTTATGCAGCCACCACAACTACAACCACAATCATTGCGATCTAACATCATCCGTCATCAATGAAACAAAGCAAGCAAGCATCCCTGTACACAATTGTGGATCCCAGATTCTCGTGAAGCAACCGAAGCAGCGCATCTCGATTGAGCTCTCTCCTATCGCTCGATCTTATCAGCGACATGCCCCCTTTCCTCCTTGCATCCACCTCGGAAGGCCTTCTCCACCCCGCATTCTTCGTCGGGGCAAGGATAGCAAGTGACGTTGTTGCTGGTGGCTAGACGGTAAGTCAAGCCCTGGCAGTCGGAAGACAGGACGCTCGTGTCTCAAGTTCCGAGAACGTTCACTGGCTTTGACTTGCTACTCATAGTTAGCCTCGCATGGGGATGGGTGGCACTCGTACCAGGTGCCTCGCCCATTGATCGCATTGTCAGTCACGCCATCTACCCTGCCCGCCCCTGGTTCCTTCTGCGCTTTTTTTTACGCTTAGCCCTTTCGACCCCTTCTCCGCGGTAGAAGGGGGTTTCTTGTAGCTGGACCACGAGACTGTTTCTTTATTATGTCATGTGAAGACTAGAGAGGAGGACTACAAGTCAGCGGCATTAAATGATCCCGCATGATGCTACGCACAGACGCATGGATGTAGAACGTGCAGCGCAGCAGCACTGTGCCTTTCCAACTCTATCAAACGCGCAAAACACTAACTGACATCTAACTCTATCACCCTCACCACGCAGCCCATCCAGCAACCCCCATACCGAAGCCCTAACTGATCCTCACCACTCTATTCACACAGCCAACTATGCAATCCCAGGAATCCCTCTTCCCTTCCCCAAGTATATCAGAACTATAGCTCCAGCCCTACCTACCCCAACAACTCGCCACTACAGCCAGAATCAACACCACTGGCCCCTTCCTTCCCTTCAATCCCCACGATATCAACTCGACCATCCCCGGGCTCCCTGGGGCTCCCTCTCTCCCTTCCCCAACTTCTTACCTCATACACACACCCTATCCCTACACCAAGACTAAGAAAAAAGACCCAGACTCAAATCAGGTACGTTCTCCCAACCTCCGCATTCACCCCTCTTCCAAGAATCTGTAGACATCATGCAAGGGGGATGCAGATCTCGGACACTCCACCCGCGCGCCTGTCTCGTCCGCGCCCGCGTCCGTGCCACGTCTATCAGATTGGATCAGCTTCGCTTGTACCTTGTGTCGCCGGCGTGTGCGTATTCATGCTCGTGTCGCTGTACGTACAGGTACAATGTTTCGTGATTTGCATGTTGGGCTACAGTGGTGGGGGGGCGGCAGCAGGCCATAGCACGAGAACTCTCTCCCGGTTTACGCTATACGGTAGGTCTGTCTGCATCGATGGCAGCTGTCGTATGTTGGGTGTATTGGCGGCTGGAGGAAGATATTGATGCATAGGTGCTATGTTCCGGGATAAACCGCATTATTCTCGAGATCCTCCGAGAGAGTGAAGATCGATGCTTCTGGCGGAGTCCACCACCATTCTGCGGGAACCGCTGCGGTGAGCAACGATGTCTATGATTACGTGTGTAGCTGTATTGGGTTGGACGATCCAGGGTCGTGGATGCGAGGGAAGTAGGATATCCTGCCTGCGAATCGGAGGGTCGGGGAATATAGGCGAGTCTGTACGCCCTTGTAGAAGCAGCTAGCCACCGAGATCATGCTTAGAGTCAAGACCAAATATAAGCTCACTCTTCAGCAGATGAGGCTAGGCAGGGGAATATATTCATCTCGTCACTGTTTCCTGTGCGGCCCGGAGCATACCATTGCTTACTTCCCGGAATACCCACCAGGGAGGTCGATGACAGGCAGAGTGGATGATTACAGGTGTATAGGGTCCCTTCCATTGACATGGTGATTGTCATTACCACTTGCACTTGTATATACTGCACTCAAGAGGTGTGTAGCCAAACACTGAAATTGCTCGCGAGTACGCAGTAACCCATCTTCCCGGACTCGGGCAATAGGTTTCAATTGCGTGGAGGGTTACTTACATGTCTGTTTATTTCCATGGTTAACAAGCCGTCTGCGTCCGTCTAGTTGCGCGTTGATATGATATGATCTGTATCATGGGCTTTAAAACATGTGGGCAGACGTAAAGACGGTTATCCTCTCGCTCACCCTGGAACAAAAAAGACCAAAAAGTAATGACAAGAGTGGGATTCGAACCCACGCCACTTGCGTGACTGCAATGCTCCTCGGATTTGGAGATCCGAAGAAGGAGGGGGTCCTTGAGTGCAGCGCCTTAGACCACTCGGCCATCTTGCCGTTCTTGGTAAGTGGCTCCAAAATTAAACTTATCAATGGATATGGACAGGAAGCATATCGCGATGAGATGTATGGGAGTTTGGCCCGAATTCTGGTTTTTTCTTGAATTAAGTGTACATGCAGAGAAGGCGAAGGGCGGTGCTTTTGTTTCTCCCTCGTCATGATGCTTCTTTCTGGCTATTACAGATATCCTATTGTATAGTATGGTATTTACACAGTGCACCGCTATATACTTCATCATATGTAGTGGTGGAGGTGTTGGAAAGGCGTGGGGTAAGATGATTGAAAGCCAAGTAGGTTTTGCGTACGTCTCTTTCACTACCAAGGATGTTCACGCGTGCTGTTCCGAGACCCTCCAATCGAGTCTGAAAATCATGAATGAAGGAGTTGATGCGAAGTCACCGCTGAAAAGAATAGTAATCCAGGAGATATATGATCATTCTTTCTTCGCCATGACCGCCAAGAAAATCGCCGTAGACTTCCAAAATGCACCTATCTGTATTATTTATTTGTATTCCTTGATTGAGTCGAGCGTCCGTGTGTCGACCGGGTGGTTCTGCGGCGCAGGACGTCTCGTTCCCTTTGAGGCCTGCGACTTGCGCTCCCTAGGTACTTTGCCCTTGTGCGGTGTGGCGGATCCGGTCGGTCTCGTCAGCACCTTCTCTCCGCAGTACCGCAGGCAACGCCGGGCCACCTGCATCGGGAGAGTGACTATACCCATGATGACTTGTCCAGGGAGGGTAATGGCCGTATACACCCATCCAGTAAGCATATTTATCAGCCCCTGGGGCTTGGCACGATGGGCGGCAGCCGCCAGGGAGAATGCGTCGTGCACGCGGGTCTCCAAGGCCTGGAACCGCGTCTCTGTCTGGTATGCCGAGACGGTGGTGCGTTTCTCGTAGCGACGCACAGCGCGGTTCAACGCGTCAATGTCCCATTGAATGCTCTTGCGCATCTCGGCGGTGGCCTGGTCGACGAGGGCATGAGTGCTATCGTTCTGCGAAGGCTGCCCGGCACGTGCTGCAGGGTCCGGCGAGAGTCGTGCAGCGGCTGTCTCGGCAACGTGAGCTTCGAGCTCTTCTAGGCGTTTGGTCAGGTCGAGGACTTTGTGGACATCGACTTTGTCAACCTCGTCTTCCGTGGACGATGCAACGATGCGTTGAAGATGCAGGGTACGTGCTTGAACCATCTTTAGGAGATGCGAAAAGGGCCGGATCTCCGAGGCAAGGAGGAAGATGGTCAAATTGTAGTTGGAGACTAGACCTTCTGAGGGGCGAGAGAGCTTCGATCGAATAGTGTGCAAAAGCCACGTCCCAATCAATGGAAAGATGAAACAAGAGGCCAAAGCGGCGAGCTCGTGGATCTGTAGCTCTTTCGTGGCTGCAGTAACATTGCTGGAGCGGTGCTGTTCCTGGGCAATCGGTGACGAGGCTTTATCACCCGAGTCGGGGCTGTCATTCGGCTCTGGGCTTAATGGAAACTCAGTAGCCTCGAAGTATTTGTCGCTAGACTGTCGGACAGCTTGTGCGGAACGATACCAATCCCTGTTGCTTTCAATCAAAATGATGCACCATGCTAGCAGAAAAGGCTGTGTAATTACCATGGCAATCGAACCGACCAGTTCAGAAAGATGGCGGCGAGAACAAGAAGGGTGATGTCGGTAACGACGGCACTCCCGTTCTGGAAAAAGATCCCGGCAATGGCAGGCAGTAAAGCCAAACCCAAGGGAGCCGAGTGCCAATGCGATTCTTCATTTGTCAGGTCGACGTCACCTCCCTTGGCCACACGTGGAAAAAGTATATCATCCGTGGAGGACCGAATCGAATGGCGAGCCTCTGAGACCGAGTCGGATAATGTGGAATTACGCCGCTGGGTTTGCAGGTTGGAGGTCGTGCCCTCTGCAAAGGTTGCAGAGCGGGCTGGACCGCGGTGGCGAAGGTTAGTGAAATCCGGGGAGAGCACGCGAGGACTGCTGTAGCTCTGGTCTTGTGTGTGGGGTGACCGCGATGGGCCAGGTCGGTCAGACATCGCACAGTCAAAGTAAGCGGTGCAGTAGAAGTTTCAGAAGGCTGGGAAGTCGAAGAGAAAGAAAAGCAGAGGGGGGAAGAGGAGAAAGAGTGACGGGGAGGGAGAAAGGAAGGGAGGAGACGAGAGCCACGCAGATCGAGCATCTTGCTTGTACGACGCTAAAGCAGCCTTGGCTCGAACCCCGTATCGATCATCGATCACTGCCTGCCCGGGGGCGGGCACTAGTCCCTATAGGCTTAAGTCTTAGTTACTTAGCCATGACGCAGGGCTCCACCTGTGTTTAGGAAAGGAGAAAAGACTCACAAAACAAGAGATTAGAGCATGGGCACAAAGCATTTTGCTGAACAGATGCCAACAGATGTAACTTGCTGAGTGAGGCATGATGATGACCAGCAAATAGTAGGAATGGCGTAGGGTATGTTGGGATCATTCATGTTGTCCGTCACAATCGATAGAAGCTAACAGAACGAGTTGGTGGAAAGGTGTTGATAAAGACCCCGCATTCCGAAGTCAGACACAAAGACAATCCTTCCAAGCAAGGGAACTATGCCATTCAGACTGTAGATAACCAATAAAGATCCGCATTTCGGCAAATTTGGTGGACCAGGCGCCGATATATCGCAGAGCTTCGTGATCCTCAAGCATGTCGGTGTACAGACAGACACCAGCTATTGGAACTACTTGAGGATTCGCAGCGAGTATCGAAAATTATTGAATTAGACCTGTGTGGCTCCCCGGATCACATCAACAATAGGTTGAAGCTGGAGTTGCTTACATGGAGGATGGCATCAATTGAGAACGAGAATCTTCAGACCCACGATGTCAGGAGATCAAGATGAAAACAACAAAGCGAGGAGGGGAACTGTGAGAAGTGCCTACCGCGACACTGGCACACTCAATCAAATTGAGCAATTACTGTCAATGATGGCCAAAGAGAATTATAACTAGCTTGTTGCCACAATACCGACTGCGGAGTCGACCTTGAGCGGAGCGACTGCAACTAGAAGTATCGATTCGAGAACCAAGCATTTGAATTTCTTTCAAGGGTGAGCATATCGGCGCAACTAGCGAGTCGACATCCTATACTATGCTAATCCATGCTAGGCAATCCGATATGGCACGGGTCGTCATTAGTGATTGTACGACCCTTCATCAAAGAGCAATTAGCCGAAGTACGCGCGCAAGGATGACAAACCCACTTTGGGTGTTTTGATACTGTTTGTCCGATGAATAATAGACGCATAGAAGAAGTTGAACTACCTCCACCGTCTTTGGAACTGTGATTATAAGCTCGATTTAAGCTCAGGCAGGGGTAACAAAGTACTTTGTGGTTTCTTTGTCACAAGCACTTTTGAGCTAATCTGCAGTCGACAAAGTCCGACATGGGCTGGCATATCGCCGAGATAGTGTACCACCTGCGAGAGCTCTTGTACTGTATACAAGACCTAGCAGGTGATTTTTGGTAGCTTGGGGCCGCGAAGTTCAGTCCGACTAGATGCATGATGCATCCCCGATGGAAAATAGTCATTTGACACAGTCATAGCTGAAAATAGCAACCGAGTGCATGAAACAGAGCCTGTTAAGATAGAGAGTGTAATAGATGGAACACAGCAGGAATGAGGCAAGCTGTGGAGGTGACTGACTGAGTCTTTTGAGACCCGAATTAGGAAAGGTCGGCGCAGAGAAGACGGAGCTATGCGTCTATCCTGCCAGGTGGCTGTCAACTCCTCCTCCACTGCCCCATTCTATGACTGCAATTGTGTTCTCATACCCCCTTTATTCAGACTATCAAGCGAGGATCGATGTATTGACTCATTTCTTGAGACTCAGTGGAAATGGCTGTTACCCAAATGGTCCGTTTGATTGGCCGCAGCGGCGTCTATAGCCTGGTCACAACACTTGCCGGCTCATTTTGCAAATCTCTGATTCTGTGCCCCCTCGGCGATTGGCAAGAGAATGTCTCAATTAGACCCTCAGTGAAGGCTCTGATGCTCTCGTACCCGTCTATTTCTGGGCTCCGTCAATAAGACATTGCTGTTACTCCTTATTCAGGAGATCAAGGCACATATGGTCTATATGATGCTGCTGCACTCGATACGATGACCCAGAACCATCCTCCTTCGTTCATACTCCAGTCAAGAGCCCATAATCATTCTCTCACGCATCCATACCAAGCAGAAAGGCAGCTGGATTGCTTCAAGACTGCCGTACTCTATCGAGATCTCCTCCTACGCAACTAGTGTCACCCAGTTCGCACGATGAGTGCTCAAGCAGCTCCGGTCTATCCGCTCTATATGCAAGCAGTACTCCTTCCAGTTATATCCTTCGTTTCTATTTTGTTGAGCGTGGTGCCACTGGTGCTGCACTGGAACAACCGCAACGTGGCTGCCAGCAGCCTGATCTGCTGGTACATGATTCTCAACGTCTTCAACATCATCAATGCCATACTCTGGCCTACCGATGACGTGAGTTCTTGGTGGGACGGTAAGGGGCTATGTGATTTTGAGGGCAAGATTATGATTGCGAGTTACATTGCCGTTCCTGGGACGCTCGTTTGTATCTTTCGTGGTTTGGCCTGCGTGCTGGACACCAGACGTGCGGCTTTAGTCCCTACCAAGTCGCAGCGGTGGTGGAATCGTGGAATGACCCTTCTGTTCTGCTTCATGGCCCCCGCAGTCGCAACGATCACGCAGATCATCTATCAGGGGGGCCGTTACTTTGTTTTTGCTATTTCTGGTTGTGTTAACAGCTACGATGAAACCTGGGTGACCCTGGTCCTGGCCTATATCTGGCCGCTGATCATTTGTCTGATCGCTGGCTACTACTGCGGTATGTTAGCTGATTCATTCACCATTCACACATCAAGCTCTAACGTTGTCAGTGATCGTTCTGCATCGTCTCAGCAAATATCGAAGTCAGTTCGGAGACATAATCCAATCCTCGAACAGCAACATGAACAAATCTCGATTCGT